AAAAAAAAAAAAAAAAAAAAAAATCCTCTGTTTGCACAGTTCTGTTAGGTGAGATATGTCCCTACCTTGAGAAATTTTCTAAGTACCTAGTGAAAGACCAAACATCCCTAGTCTCAGACTGACTTCTGTCTGGGAGGTAGGGATAGATTAGGTAGGGTGCTGGAGGCATCTGCAGAGGGATGACATCAGGTTGGGTGTTGCAGGATAAGTCAGAATTCTCTAGGAGCCTGGTCATTGCTAGGAGCCTTTCCGTCAAAACCCTCTGCATGGGCCACGTCAGCATTAGGTAGTACATGTCCAGTTCTGAGATGACACGCAGCTGTTCCCTTTGGGATAACAGGGTAGCCCTGCTGGCTACAGACAAGAGTGCGCTTGCAGCATGCGGGCTGCTCTCATGGGCCCAAGTTCATCCATCCATAGGATCTCACTTAGTACGTAGGTTGCCTTCCCATCACCAAGTCTGTGTACCAGCCCAGATGTCACTTGTTTGGAGATTTACCATCTCCTTATGGCAAACCTTCGTCATCACACAGAGCCAGTTGCCCAAGACACAGTTTTTCTTTTCTGTCTTTTGAGGGGTGAGATGCAGAGCTCTGAGTAACCTGTGTGGATCAGTCTCCTCTGACGACATTTCTCCCTTCCTCTCTAGCCCATACCTTTCTCCCCTTATGTTGACCCTCCTGATGTCCCTTTTCACCAGAGGAGTCCCCTCGGGGACCGGGGTATGCCTCTCGTGCACGTTATCTTGTAATGGCTCATGTTGACTCTTAACTAAGTTGGCTGATTTCATTACAACCAGTTCACAACTTGCTTGCAGCTATTTTTGTGGCCGTATTTATATAACCATATATCTCATTGCTCTTTACGTTGTGTATTTTGGTATCACTCCTTTTTTAAAACTAAAAATCTAACAGCATTTATTTTCCAAAAGACCAAGCAACTCATTTGTTTCCATTAAAAAAAAAAATGTGACTAACAAAAATGTTTTATGCCAGAAATAGTTTCAACCATACTGACAGCAACTAAAACCAAGAATTGATAAGGGCTGCAAGAAGCTGTGAGGGATGGTAAATGATCCAGACACTGCACTTGGGGCTTTATGAATGTTATCTGGCATGTCTTCATCCGCACACTTTTAGGAAGCTGTTATGATGCTCATTTTTGTATCATAACAAGGAAACCAAAGCTTGGACAGGTAAGGCTCTACCTGCCCATCCCCTACAGTTGGGAACTAACTGGTAGGGCAGAGGTTGGAGAGCAGGTCATTTGTCTTCAAACACTGGCACCAGGCTATACTGCCTCCCCAGCCAGGAGATAAATTATAATCAAACGATAGCTATTTTTCCACCTGCTGTACAGAGCCCAGCAGTGCTCAGATTATATGTGCAAGGGGAAAATACTAATAAAAGAGAAGCCACTTGGTCTTTGCATGTGTATTCATTTACAGATCTAAGAGAGCCACAGGAAGTCAGGACTAACACACTTGTTGCAGTGTTACCCCAAAATTTCACTAACCACATTTCATCTGGGTCTTGTAATGTGGTGAGTTTCCTTCCAGCTAATCAGCAGAAGGAGTGTCTCTAAGTGCCTGTCTAAAAAGTATTCAAAATCATTTATTTCTCAACACAGAGGTTCCCATGGATGAGTGCGCCTATTCAAGTTGGATTGGTTGGCTTCTGGTGAGTAGAAATGGCTTTTACATAATAGATTTCTTTTTTAAATACACAGCATATGAAAGGTGAAGGAAGGATAACAGGGGACACATGTTGTGAAAATGAGGCCATCCCAGAGCATCTGGGTCTTATGTTCCCAATAATTAGATAAAAGTAAACTGTCTTCAGAGAAATCTACAACATTAAAGCTATTCGTGTGATTCTTTTGTAAACTCTTGTTATCTCTTAGATTTTTTCCATTATTTTGGCAATCCCAGCTAATAAAATTTACACAAACAGGACATATTTTTGTCAGGCTGGATAATGCTTTCAAGAAAGGGGACTGTTATAAAAGTAAAACAGAAGGAGAATCTGAAAAGTGGACCATTTTCAAAATGCTCTGATTTGACTTTTTTTTTTTTTTTTTAAGTTTGGTGTTTGCTACGCCCCTGTGTTGTGCTCTGTTTCCTCAGAAAAGGTATGTAATTGTTATTCTTCAGAATGCTTGTGAGTTTTAATCCTAAAAACTAGGTGAAGATGCGGTGCTGTTACTGCATCTCACTGGGTAGGGAAGTTGAGACTCAAAAAGACAATGATGCAAAGTTCTCTGAAAGGAGGAAATAGAGGCAGAAATCAAACTGATGTCTGTTTAGTTTCAAAACTCTCTGTACGCAGCTCTTCTCTCCCTCTCCCCTTAAATTTGAAAATGCTTTATTCTTTTGTAAGCGTCAGGTTAACTCTGGTATAAATTTGCTTTTATAAAAATTGAACCACAGTTTGTGGTCATCCAATCCATTGGCAAATGCATCTATAATACACATGTGTTGGAATTTAAGTTCCACCCCCAGGGACAGCAATTATATGCACTTTGCTTAGGTAGTTGGTATATTTGCTTCCCTTCTCCCTACTTAGCTTTTTGCCTTAAAAGCTTTCTTGTGCTTGTCTTTCGTC